TATATATATATATATATATATATATATATATATATATATATATATATATATATATATATATATATATATATATATATATATATATATATATATATATATTTATTTTTAAAAACAATGGGTGTAAAGTGTCATATCTCTATACGTTTTACTACAGATTATTAAGTAACGTGTAGTGTAACGTGTAGTTTAACGTGTAGTGTAACGTGTAGTGTAACGTGTAGTGTAACGTGTAGTGTAACGTGTAGTGTAACGTGTAGTGTAACGTGTAGTGTAACGTGTAGTGTAACGTGTAGTGTAACGTGTAGTGTAACGTGTAGTGTAACGTGTAGCGTAACGTCTAGTGTAACGTGTAGTGTAAAGTGTAGTGTAACGTGTTGTGTAACGTGTGGTGTATCGTGTGTGAAAAGTGTCTAGTCAGTATGTAAAAATGGATTGATATTTTGCGCATGTGCGACCAGATTTGCTTGAACTCATCTCACATAATCCCAAAATCATAGGATATGGAAGTTTGCAATAAATTCTTGTTGCAAGTTTACGATCAGTAAGCCCCTATATCAGCGTAAATAAAAAGCCTGAATTGCGTTTAAAATCTAGTGAGTATGTCAATTTTACGTAACAATTCAGCAAAAAGGAGGAAAATCAAATCATTGAAAGTTTTCCAAAACTGTATGTAAGTAGGTTAAAACGATGCGTTGTCTGTTATAAAATTATTGAACTTAAAGGAAATATTCTGTTTGAGAGAAAAAAGTATACTCATGATTGTCAGCCTTGGGAAGAAATTGTCTGAAATTTACTCATTATTTTACAATCTTCTTCCAATGTATATATTCATCAATTAATCGTCCTTTCCTAACAAAAAATAACTATAGTTCTCAAGATCCCCTATATTCTTTTTACATGAAGTACTCCGTTATAGAAAACCGCTGAGAAAAATGCTATATGGGAAAAGGTTCATCAAGCAAGAAATCCAAGTCAGCGTCTGCCCTGGAGCAATAAGTTGAATCAACATGAACGAATTACGTTTCATTCAAAAGTTCAAATAGAGACAATCAGGAGCAAAAATTATTGAGATAACCGCATACACCGTTTGTTACTCACAACGATAAAACGAGCTACCATGTGTATGAACCAGCGACCAATAAAACGTAAAGATACTGTATGCACGAGGACAGATTTGAGAGCGAATTGCATGAAACGCAAATTCAATGCAAAAATTAGCCTGCGAACAGGCTCTCAAGCTGAATTGAGAGCCTGCATCGATGACTAATGAATTTGAATATCTGCGTCTCAAATCGTGACGCGAAATTCTCATTGGTCAGATGCTATAATTTATATGCTTCCGCTGTGCTCTATATAAGTCAACTGTTGAAGCACTATGCATAAAAAACACATTAACTGATCAAATTGGTCTTGGCAGTCTTATCTCAATGCACGAAATGTTCTGTTTTGAGAAAACAGTATTTAAAACATTTGAACTTTTGCTTGAATGTCTCATATTTCGAAAAACTGTACGGTCTAAATTTAGTTTGCACGGTCTAAATTTAGTTTGCACGAAAGTTGTAAACAACACCATATAAGGATAGACATACCATATTTGGAAAAACGAACGTTACGGGGCAGATATTCAAATTCATTAGTCATCGATGCAGGCTCTCAATTCAGCTTGAGAGCATGTTCGCAGGCTATGCAAAAATTTGAATATGCATAATCATTCATTATCGTCTAAAGGTATCCAACGTCAACAAATAAGCATACAATAGCATGGATATTGGAACCATACAAATCTAGCGATTAGACATCAGAGTCAAGAATGTATTCATTCCATTGAAAACGTTGTTTGTTAATATTGTTAAGCACCAATAGGCGAACAATAAAATAAATGTGCAATTATTAGAATGGTCTTAATTGCCAATTGCGTGTTTGTAATGACAATAGAATTCTTATCAAATTCATTTAACACCGATATCTCAGTTTCAACTAAACACTACCTAATTGGCATAAATGTGGTGGAATATTTGATGTGGTAGAATACACCCACTGTTTAGAAACATGAAAGGGACTCCGTACTTTGTTTAAACAATAAGCAGTCCCATACAAACATACGGAGCGTTGTTTGCGTGTATCTGTAGACTACGCAGTCGGTATATACTGCTTCATGCAAACATACATTCCACGTTGCTTAAACAACGGGAATCCAGAGCTGAAAGATATATGACATTTCTTTCTTGATATCTTACATATTTTGTAGCGTTTACTTGAAAAGATATTTGTGACAAATGAACTTGATATGAATTATATTGTCATTACAATTACACACAATTGGCAATTCGACCATTGTAGTGATTATACATTCATTTTATTTTTCACCTGTTGGTGCTTAACAATATTAATAAGCAACGTTTTCATTAGAATGAATATGTTATTGACTCTGATGTATAATTTGTATGGTCCAAATATCCATGCTATTGTATATTTATTTCTTGATGTTGAATACCTTTAGACGATAATGAATGATTATGCATATCCAAATTTTTGTATTGAATAAGTACATGTTTCATGCAATTCGCTGTCAAATCCGCTCACATGCATATCTCTACGTTTTATTGGTCGCTGATTCGTACAGATGGTAACTCGTTTTATAGTTATGAGTAATAAACGGTGTAATCTACAGATACACACAAACCATGTTCCATATTTTTTGATTGTGTGAGACCGTCTCACACAAACAAAAAAATATGGAACATGGTTTGTGTGTATCACTGAGACTGCTTATTGTTTACGTCCGATGCAATACACTTATAGTCATTGACTTAGTCCAAAAGTATGTCGATTTCTTGCTTCAGTTTGCCATTTTCTTTAATTACGAAATTTCGGTCTTCACCGATATTTTCTTCTGTTGTTTTAGTGGACTGTCGAATTTCCTGCAAAAGCTCATCGAATTTGTTCACAAAGCGCAGTTCAAGGTCTCGTATGCCGTCGAGTACTTTGCCGTAGTTCGATGTCTCATGTGAATTTATTTCGATATGACTGTTTTTGGTCCAGGCTTTATTTACACCGTCTCCCTCCATGTCGCCATTTCCTTCACTGACAAAAGTGTTTGATAACTCGCCTTTATCAGCTAGGTTGGCCATTATTCGCAACTGAGAGTTTATTTCTTCGCCTTGCTCCCCTTTAATAATTAAAGAGAAATTGTTTGTACACCACCGCATTTCGAAGGTGTCCGTCTCCAGTAGCTTACAATGACCACCAGGCGATGATCATTTTGTCTGTGTCTCGAGCAACTCGTTCATCAGTATTTCGAGATTCTCAAAAGAACCTATTTATCTGAGTTTTCCTTTTTCAGTAATATTAAGATACTTTACGACATTGATCTTATTCGTTCGCTTAAATTCTACATTCTTTGTTGTATTCTCTTCAACATCGCTTAATTCGGCGTCAGAGCTCACAAATAAGCGTCTGTCTGCCATGCTGGACGTTGTGGTCGTTTCAATTTCCCATGCGTAATACTGGAAAAGAGCAGGACAATTTGGGTTGACTTTTTCGAGATAAAGAGCCAAAGCTTTATACCCAACAACTGGCTGATTGGTTTCGTATATTCTCGCTTCTTTCTCCGTGCTGGACACGTCAGTTAACCCACCAGGGTGATTTTCCGAGGACTCGTCGTGTGTCAACCTCACATAGGGTCGACCAGAGTTATCAACTTCAAATGCGAAGCTGTTCACGGTGAAGTTACGTTGACCTTCTCGACCTCGTCTACACCAATACGAGAGAACGTGAAACCACACACTACGAAGAAGCGACAAATGATTGATGGGCTCGAAAACGCCGCTTGTTTTCAGCTTGGCGAAGTCTTCTTTCGCCAACGGTGGTTTGTGCTGGTTTTTCCTTTCCGTGTTGCTTGGGTTGTTTTATCTTCGCGTCAAGCATCTGGTTGGACCGTGTAAACAAGGAGTTAAAGGCAATTCTAATCACTCTGTTTAGTGCATGGTGAATTATTTAGATATCTTTCAATACCATGTCTGAAACCGTTCAAAGCCGATTTGCTGTAGTCTCGCTTGTCCTTCGTCCTGGCTTCAGCGTAGAAGCAAAAAAGATTTTCGCCGAGCTGTCTTGTTTTCATTTGTTCCAGTTCAGGCATTATGTCTTTCGTATGGCACCAATCTGAAAATATTAGGCATTTTTCATTGAAAGGTACTGTTTAAAACAATTATGTTGCCGGGTTTTTTTAGTCATGAGATTCATAAAAAATGACATATTCGTGTAGCTTTATGTAATATTGTCGACTTTGTAAAACTTCATTATTATAAAGATAAAGTGAAACTGATGTGTTCTTACTTGTATATTAACTACAAAATTTAGTCTGTAAATGTAGTTTTCTGTGTATTGCAACTGAAGTATTTGAAAGCACAAGTATAAAACTTACGTACCTTCAAATGTAGAAAAAGCCAAGTTCGTAGCAAACACGTTCTGCTATTGGGTCCAATATTCTATTTAACAG